TTGTTTTGAAAATACGCATAACAACTCTTCCAATAGTTGCATGAACTCGATCTCCCTAAAACAAAAAATTTGAAAAAAAATTTAAGTTAGTAAGGCGCATAAGTTGAAGAAAATACATCACACCCGAATAAAATAACATGTAAAAGAATATGCACCTTTTCATCTTGAATAATTAATTCAATTAAATTAGAATTTTCTAGATTCTCGCGCTCTGGAACGTGCCATAATCTAACAACACGAACCTTCAAATTCCAACACGTTTTGGACATTGATATTTCGCTGATATAGTTATAGTTTGGAGCCATACTTTGCAAAAGTTAGTGTGGAAGCTAAACCCTAAGCAATGTAGAGAAGTCAAGCCTGAGCAAAAGTTGCTTAAATAAAGATTTCTAAGGAAAGACTATCGTAGTAAATCAATTTTTAAGTATCTGAAATCCTAATATTTAAAAAGGTATATGTAAATCAATTTCTATGAGTGAGTGCGCAAGAAATGATACGGATCTTTTTCCTTTGTCCTCTTGTTCATTTTAAATATTATTTCCATCAATATAATATTAAGATACAAAACGTTTACTTACTTATTTTTTTTCTTGAAAAAGAATACCTAACATAACTGAATTATACACAAAATTTAATTAAAGATGCTTATATTAATGTATGTTGTTCGCAAATAAGGTCAGATACAAAGCTTGTACTAAATATAGAATTATTATTTCAACTTAAAATTAATGTGTAAGATACAAAACGAAATTTTAATTGATTCTTTCTCAAAAAAGGATATCTACCATAACTGAATTATACACAAATTTAATTAAAGATACCTATAGTTATAGTATATTGGTTTGCTTAATGAAAATTGCGTCCCTTTTTTGTGTATGTCCAAAAGATTCTACTTTGGTCATTAACAAGAGAACATTTTTAGTTTAATTATTTCACGACCCAAAATCTCACCTGTCGTGATGGCACCTATCATGGTACTAGGCAAGCCTCAACTCAATATCTCAACACAGTGGAAATTTTAAATAAAGGCGGAAGCAGTTAATATTAAATAAAACCTTTTAGAACAGAATATAATTTCAAAAGTACTAAACAATCCATCCCCAAAACTTGGTGTCACTAAGTGCATGAGCATCTAAATGATAACAACATCCAACTGATAAAACACTGTCTGAAATATAGAACAATACAACATGAAAGGAAAGGAGAGTTAAGGTCAACGAACGTTGTGCAGCTACCTCAATAGTCTCCTGAGTCTGACTCCTCAATCAACAACCACCATGACCAGAAGTGCCTGGATCTGTACATGAGGTACAAGGGGTAACGTGAGTACACAAACTCAGTAAGTAACATAAATAAATAAGGAACTGAGAAGTAGTGACGAGCTATGCAAATACAGTTATCGCAATAACTTTCAATTTAATAGTTTAAATCTCATCAGTGCATACTCAAGTAAACCAAATATCAAATATTCCAGAAATATATACGACAAGGACACATAGCAACTAAGTTCAGCAATTAACTGAAAACAAATACAACCTCTCAAGGCAACAATCACTCGGCTCATCTCAACAACTCAATCACTCGGCTCTCAGCCCTCAATAATCATATTCAATAGGTACCTACGCTCACTGGGGGTGTGCAGACTCCGGAGGGGCTCTTTCAGCCTAAGCACTATAAACTGCATGGACAACTCACGTGCTATAATAATATCTGATCCGTACGGACAACTCACATGTTATAATATAATATCTGGATCCGCATGGACAACTCACGTGTTGCACAGACAACTCATGTGCTATAATATAATATCTGGATCCGCACTGACAACTCACATACTATAGTATCAATAACCTCACATTTAGGCCCTAGGCCTCACTCAGTCACCAATCTCTCCAGTCTCTCAGGCTCTCAGAAATCCTATAAACGGCCCAAACATAAGTAATATCATATATCAACAATGAACAGTAAGAGATGGAGGCATAATGAGCAAGAAAAGCTATGACTGAGTATAAAACAACAATTTAGCAGCTAATTCAGCAAGTACACGACCTCGCAGGTCTCAACAATGATCACCTAAGGCCTAAACATGATTTCTAACATGAAGTACAGTCAATTTCCATGAAAAATAGAGGAAACATAAATTAAACAGTATGCCAATTGATTCCACAGTCTCATGGGACGGACCAAGTCACAATCAATACGGTGCACGCCCACACTCCTGTCACCTAGCATGTGCGTCACCTTCAAAATAGTAATACAACACAATGTCCGGGGTTTTATACCCTCAAGACCAAATTTATAACCGTTACTTACCTCAATTCGAGCAAAATCCTACTCTGAAATCCTTTACCTCTCAAATCGACCTCCAAATGCCTCGAATCTAGCCACAATAATTCGATTCAGTCAATAAAAAATATAGGAATTAATTCCACATGGAATTCTACATTTTCCATTAAAAATTCGAAATTGCACTAAAAATACGCCCATGGGGCCCACGTCTCGGAACCCGACAAAAATTACGGAATATGAACCTCCATCCAACCACGAGTCCAACCATACAAATTTTACCAAAATCCGACAACAATTCGGCATCCAAATCATTAAATCTCATTTTCAAAAACACGTAATCTAGCCGGGATATTCAATAATAATTCAATAATATTGACTAACAATGATCACAAGGGACTTACCTCAAGAATTCCCGTGATTTCTCGCTCAAAATTGCCAAAATTCGTGCTTTGAAGTCAAAAAAATGACCCAAAACCCGGACTGCTGGAACTAAATCTGTCCATAAAATATCGGGTACTGTTCACGGGGGTACTGTTCACGTGCTTTAAAAAAATCAGCAGCTGTCCAAAGAGAAAATTCAGCAGCTGTCCAAAGAGAAAATTCAGCAGCCTTTTTATATCCGTTAACCTTCCGAAATCCACCCGAGGCCCTCGGGACTTCAACAAAATGCATCAACCAATCCTAAAACATGATACGAACTTAGTCAAAACCTCAAATCGCATCAAATAATGCTAAAACCGTGAATCACACCCCAATTCAAGTCTAATGAAACTAAGAACGTCCAACTTCTATATTCGATGCAAAAACCTATCAAATTAAGTCTGATTGACTTCAAATTTTGCACACAAGTCATAAATGACATAACGAAGCTATGAAAATTTTCAGAACTGGATTCCGACCCCGATATCAAAAAGTCAACCCCCTGTCAAACTTCCAAACTTAAAATTTCTTATTTTCGCCATTTCAAGCCTATTTTAGCTACGGACCTCGTAATAAATATTCGGACAGACTCCTAAGCCCGAAATCACCATACGGAGCTATTGGAATCATCAAAAATCCATTTCGGATGATACATATTTCACCTTCTGGCCAATTTATTCAACTTAAACTTTCTTCTTGAATACTAAGTATCTCAATTCATTTCAAAACCTCACGGAACTCGAACCAATTACCCCGTCGAGTTATATAACAGCTGTAAAGCATGAATTTAGTAATAAATGGGGAAAAATGGATTGTAATATTCAAAACGACCTGCCGGGTCGTTACAAATTAATTCTTTCTTTAATTTTTTAGTCTATTTTCTTTAATATAATATAGATTTAAGATACCAAATATTTATTTAATTAATTCTTTCTTAAAAAGAATATTTACTAAAACTGAATTATACACAAAATTTAATTAAAGATACATATAGTAATGTATATGATACCTATATTAATGTATATTATTCGCAAATTAGGTCAGATACAAAGTTTTTACTAAATATAGAATTATTATTTCAACTTAAAATTAATGTGTAAGAAAAAAAATGAAATTTTAATGGATTCTTTCTCAAAAAAGAATACATACCATAAAAGAAATTTTTAATAGTATTACAAATCGATGATCATATAATTTTGTATGGCAAGTGTGAGTAATCGTATATTGTCATATCACAATGATCTTTTTCTTTTACTTATTTTTGGACTTTGGTCCATGACACGTTTTTGGCAAGAATTTTTTCTTTCCATTTTTGTGTCAGCAGAATATTTCATATCTTTTTCTCTTACCCGTATTAACTCAAAGCATTAATTTCATATTTCAACAGAATATTTGTCATATGTAATATTACTCCAAATATGATTATATATGTTCACGGACAGCTCTATTATATATTTTATTCCCACCAAAAACAATTTAATTATTAATTAGATACAAAAGAATATCAAATAATAATTTTTTCAAGGAAACCGTGAATTTATTTGTCATATAATATTACTCCAAATATGGTAACATATGTTCACGGATAGCTCGATTTCATTTTTTTTCCAACAAATTTTTTATCCAATTATGAATTAGATATTTTTGTATATTTTTTGTCTAGTGACAATATATTTTATATATTTTTTGTATAGTGACAATCTATTTAGTATATATTTTGTATATTGACAGTCTATTTTGTATATAATTTGTATAGTGACAATCTATTGTATATAAATTATATAGTTACAGTTTATTTAGTATATTTTTGTATAGTGACAGTCTATTTTGTATATATTTTGTATAGTGACAATCTATTTTGTATAGTGACAATTTATTGTATATAAATTGTATAGTGACAGTTTATTTAGTATATTTTTGTATAATGACAGTCTATTTTGTATATATTTTGTATAGTGACAATCTATTTTGTATAGTGACAATTTATTGTATATAAATTGTATAGTGACAGTTTATTTAGTATATTTTTGTATAATGACAGTCTATTTTGTATATATTTTGTATAGTGACAGTCTATTTTGTATAGTGACAATCTATTTTGTATATTTTCTGTATAATGACAGTCTATTTTTGTAGATCTATTGTATGAAATTTTTATAGTGATAGTCTATTTTTGTATATATTTTGTATAGTGGCAGTCTATTATTTATAAATTGTATAGTAACAATCTATTTTGTATAATTTTTGTATAGTGACAATCTATTTTGTATATATATTTTGTAATATACCAATATTCAAAAGAAATGCTTTATATGGCGATGACTCAAAATTATCTAAAATGAATTTTAAATATTAGCCTCATATACAATTGTTTATGGTGATGACTCAGCACTCCATTGTCGTTGATTCTTTGTTGTTGCTGTTGAAATACATCCATTTGAGGCTTATGGACAGTGGTTTTCATCTGAAGATTCTGATCGATCGGTAACGTTGACTGTGGCAAGCCATTCTGATTTGACTAATGATCGACGACAACAGAATCATTGTCGTCCGTCCGATTCAACGACCCATTCTCACCCACGACCATGATTGTTCCTTCTTTCAGCAACTATGTGCCCAAGACTGGTCCTTTTTTCTCCTTCTTCTTTAAACCTTTCTTTCCCAATTTGGGTTCTGTGAAAATTTGGGTTCTGTGAAAAAGCCAACACGGAAAAGAAAAAGATCAGTCATTTCATTCCTAATTTATCAAGTTGGAATTTTAATATCATAATTTCCACCAAACAGAATTATCAGAAAAAGAAAAATGAAAATCGATATTTGTACCTGCTAGGTTTAGAGGGTGGTGCGGGTGATTGAGGAACTAAGATTAAGGAAGGGATTACTCATAAATTGACCGACTATTTGCGCCGGACGGAGGAGATCCGAGTTGCGTTGGATGAGGGTGGGACCGAGTCAGGTACGAATGGAGGGGATGCGGCTGTGGCGACAAGACAAAGACGAAAACCAAGGATGGAGAAGATGGGGGAGGATTCTTAGGCTAACCTTTTAATTAATTTTAGGCTAACCAATGAAGTTTGCTCGAAGTATTTGGGGCATCTTTATATAATGGTAAAAGTATATCAGTGCAACCATTTTCCCTAATTGAGTCCTGATAATCTAACCAAGAGTATTAGACACAATTTTGAACTAACGCACAAGTACTGTGTGTCGGCACTTCATGTAAAAACAAATAATCATTACTTACAAAGCCTAAATATGCCCAATAATAATTGTGGAACTGATATAAGCATTAAGGAGTACACAGAAAACCAAAGAAAACAAATATAGAAGATAAATCTATTGCATTGTCTGTCCCATAAACCCCCATCCCGCAACCTTCCTATGCAAACAAAATTCAGGTTTCAAAAGAAAACAGAATGAGGGCCGTCACTCTTTAGTGGAAATTTTCAAAACCTTTTTAGTTTTTTCTCTTGAATCATGGCTTCACTCCATCCCAGCAAAAATGGAGATTTTACTAGTAATTTGAGAGATTCAATGTCGCAGAAACAAGAGAATAGAGTCACTGGAGTTGAAGAAACCCTAGATCGCATCAATCAGTTGCCAGACGCACTCCTCGTACAAATTCTCTCTCTTTTGCCGACGAGAGATGCCGTCGCATCATCTGTTCTCTCTAGAAGGTGGCGTTATCTCTGGAATTCAATTGATAATTTCCATTTCGTTGTTAGAAATGACAACAAAGCTGAGAACTTCATATCCTTTGTGGACCACGTTTTAGCTCATTGCACTTGTCCCAAAGTCAGAAAATTCAAACTCGATTTAAATGACATGTCTAATAGGGAGTTTGAGTTGATAATCAGCCTGTGGATTAGTTTTGCTGTGGAAAGAAATGTTGAAGATGTTGTTTTTTTGTGTTCATTTGATGATGAAGAACTTTATTACGAATGGCCGCCTCTATCTATGTGCACTTGTTCGTCATTGATTACATTGGATTGGAGCTGTTGCACGTTTGATAAGGAATCGATAATAGAGTGGAAGTCTCTGAAAAGCCTAAAGTTGCAATACATTTTGTTTGATGATGACGATATTGTGAACTTACTGTCATGTTGTCCTGCTTTGGAAACTATGGAGTTGTCACTATTTGAGGGATTTCGTCGTGTTGAAATTACTAATTCAAATCTAAAGAGACTAACGTTGGCAAGCCATAAGTGGCCTTGTAGCGGAAATGAGGATTCTTTGGAAATTTTTGCCCCACATCTTCAGCATTTGGATATTTCCAGGAGCTCTTGGACATATCAAGTGTAGGCTAGTAAATGTCTCCTCTTTGGTTACTGCCAGCCTAACTTTTGACATTTGATGTACTGCTGATGACTCCGCAGAAGACGATATTGAGGAAGAAAGTTGTCGTGATTATCATCAAGTTTTCAGAAACCTTGTTCGGGACTATCTTCGAAAGTTGAGTTATGCGATTGAGCTATCAATTGGAAGTTGGTTAGCATAGGTTTGTTTTTGTTTCAAAAGACCATGTTCTCTAGTTGACTTTTTAGCAAAAAATTGCAGGATGTAAACCTGAGAAAGAGAAGAACCTTTAGAATCTCATACAATTATGAACTCTTTTGTACATGAGAATTTCGGTGAAAAAAGATTTTTTGGTTAAAGAATTGAAAGGAAAAGTTTTTAATATACAAATGACTGTCTTCAGCTTTTGTGACCTTTTGTGATCTTCCTATCAACTTTCTGAAATTGGATACTATTTCTTTACTGGCAATAGGCTGCTTTGGAAACTAGCCTCTGTACATTGTTGTTCCTTAAAGTGGTTATATGGTTGGATTTGTCATAGCACTATCTTTTTGTTGTGGATTACTTTTCCCTTGCGGTTTGCTTCTCTCTATCCTTCACTAATTTCATTAGGATTGTTTCTCCAGGTTGTGTTCATGTTGCAACTCGAAGGGGTGGCGCTTCCAGAATTGAGATGCAAGTGTCTAACGCTAAAGTTGCAGGTATCAAAGCATACTTTGTATGGAATAACTAGCCTTTTCGAAGCCTCACCTCTTTTGGAGACGCTCAACATTCACATGGAATATGAGGTTGTGCTTTCTCTCAGTTTATGCTCTTCCTTTTGACATCCATTCGATTTTTGAATTTAACACTCCCCCCTCCCAAAGACTGAGTTTCTTAAGGAGAATGCAAATATAGCATTAATTATCTCTAAGAATTTTTTGCCACTATAAAGCTATAATTTAAAAGATCAGGGTAGTTGCTTTCTATCTGGTAAACAGGTTCAAGAAAGGAAAAGGATTGTTTACCAACTGAACCTCCGTTTGCTTGGTTTGTCTACTGCTTGAGTATTTCATATAGGTATCAGCTATTGTAATCATTTGCTGAGAACTGTTCCAGATTCGTGGGTTTTGAAAATTGCTCTATATCATACACTGCTGTGAAATCATTTCATTTTGTCTTCTGTGGAATAATACCACTAGGCCGTAGATCAGCATTGGATCCTGATTCTATTCTCTGTTCCAGTTTGGTTATGAGCACTGCGCACTTGAGCTAAGCTATTTGGCCGAGGGAGATAATACCAATTTGTTGTGTTGGATCCCAAACATTGTGTTTTCCAGTCTCAAGAATATTAAGATTGTCGACTGCATACAGAGATGTGAGTGGGCCAGATGCTCAAAGGAGTGGGCTGAAGGGGACTTTGATAAGCTTATTGAACTTTCAAAGTTTCTATTAAAGAATGCAGTGGTTTTAGAGAAGTTTGTTATCGTAGCAAACAGAAGAAAATGTCAAAAATGTTGTGAGAGCTGTGCGTCCCAATTTTTAACACGATTGGCTAAGACATTGTTAGACAGCCCAAGATCATCTAAGAATTTTGTGATTACTTACCAAGAGTCTGCTTTGGATGACTAGACTGCAAGCGGTTTTATTTCAGCATACTAAAAATGTCACCTTATATTGTAGCTTTTGATTTACTGCAGATGTAATTTTGAACTTGTGGCATATGAGGGATGCTTGGTTTCTCATGAAGCCTTGGTTTTTTTTTCACTCTAGACATTGCATATGTGCTTGGAATCTTGTAGCAACTTTTGTTTCATTTTAAGCTTCAAGATCAGCAAACCTACAAACCGCATGTTTTCTGACAATTTGACTCATGATAAAAGCTGTATTTTACTTCCTTTATCAAGAGCACGTAGATTCTATAACAAGGGGGAAGGTACTCTTTTTTTAGTTTCTTTGTTGTAGTTTTCTTATGGCTACTGGTGCCCGGAGTCAACAATCTCTGAAGCTTGTTAAAATTTCAGTTTTTTTGAAGGATGTTTCACAACTATCTTAGTACGTCGCCAATTTTTATTCTATGCATGACCCGAGGCTGAGAAATCAAAGAAGGTGCACATCAGCACAACTGAGTAAACTAGCTTGCTGTCGTACCAGTACTGGAAAATTCTCCAAACACACATTTCATATCTTGAATTATTTGATATGGACATTTTTTGACGGAGAAAGGCTCTAGGTCTAAGAGAAGCTCTCCCGTCGAGCCTTTGATTCGACTTTTGGCAATGCCATTTCGAAAGAAAGGGAACCTGTTCGGGTTGGTAGAACCTATATATGCCGATTTAGAAAAAGCTGACGCATAGGTGCGGCCCTTCCTCGGACCATGTGTGAATAAGGGATACTTTGTGCACTGGGCTGCACTTTTATATGTAATCAGTCAGTTCTCTGTTAATGTGTGAAACAAGTTTGAATTGAATCAATTTGTATCTAGGGCTTGTATTGGAATGAACGAAGAGAAAGCTCTTTTCTTATTGTATCAGAAAACAGAATGAATAGTTCTGCTGTTTCTAGAAACCTCTACTACTTATATACATGACCCAGAAATTACTACTTTGGGCTTAAGCCCAATCCAGACTACATACATAAATAAATGTATAATATAGCCAGAATATTAAGTTGGGCCTTCTTCAATTTGGGCCTGGCGTGTAGTAACTCCAACACTCCCCCTCAAGGTGGAGGGTGGAACAACCTCCAACTTGGGAAGAAGTGCATGATGAGCAAGCCCAGTAAGAGGCTTGGTGAAGATGTCAGCTAACTGTTCGGATGTCGAGACATGGTGGAGAGAGATAAGACCATCAACAAGCTTGGTTCGGATGAAGTGACAATCCACCTCAATGTGCTTGGTGCGCTCGTGGAAAACAGGGTTCCTAGCGATGTGGATGGCAGCTTGGTTGTCACAGTAGATATGAATAGCAGCAGTAACAGAGAAACCAAGATCTAATAAGAGCCTCACTACCCAGGCAAGTTCACCAACCACTTTGGAAATAGCCCGATAATCAGCCTCAGTCGAAGAGAGAGAAATAACAGGTTGCTTTTTAGCTTTCCACCCAATGAGGCAATCACCCGGAAAGATGCAAAAGCCAGTGATAGACCGCCTAGTGTCAGGGCAAGCGGCCCAATCACTATCACAATAGGCAGCCACAGAAGTAGAAGGTGAGTTGCTGAAGAAAACACTAACATCAGAAGTGCCTTTGAGGTAGCAGAGAAGGTGAAGAACAGCCTGCATATGAGGAGCACGAGTGTCCTGAAGAAATTGACTTAAATGCTACATGGCAAAACACAAATTAGGTCGAGTATGTGTTAAAAAATTTAACTTGCCCACTAAGCTGCGATAAGACTCAGGTGATGGAATAAGAGCCCCAGAATCAACTGTTAGTTTGACATTCAAGTCAAGGGGAGAAGTAACAGAAGACACATCTGAACAGTTATGAACCTTCAGAAGATCCCTAATAAATTTCTTCTGATGAAGCAATAACCCTGAACTGGAATAGGCCACCTCAATACCCAAAAAATAATTCAGAACACCCAAGTCTTTGATTTTGAGCTAATCATTCAAGAAGCACTTGAGAGCAGAAATCTCATCCAAATCATTACCAATAAAAATCATATCATCAACGTACACTGTAAGCAACACAATGGAAGAAGCAAATTTTTTGAAGAAAAAGGAGTAATCATTCAGAGAGTGAGAATACCCTCTGGAGCAAAGGGCATGAGATAGCTTGGCATACTATTGCCTAGAAGCCTGTCTCAAGCCATAAAGTGATTTCTGAAGCCTGCAAACTAAAGGGGAGGAAGTACCAGAAAGGGAGGAAGCACATAAACCAGGAGGAAGTTTCATATAAACCTCCTCATCTAAATCACCATGCAAAAAAATATTATTTACATCCAATTGAAAAAGAGACCATTGATGTTTCACAGCTACAACAACTAAACATTTAACATTAGAGAATTTAACCACAGGAGAAAATGTTTCATTAAAATCAACCCCTTCAAGTTGTGTATCCCCTATAACAACTAATCTAGCTTTATATCTTTCAACTGAACTATCAGCCTTATATTTAATCTTGTAAACCCACTTGCAGCCAATAGGCTTTTTGCCTTCAGGTAACTCAATAATTGACCAAGTATTGTTGGCCTTAAGTGCCTCAAATTCCTTCTGCATGGCCTCTTGCCAAGCTGGAATGGAGGCAGCCTGTTGGTAGGAGTAGGGTTCAGTAATAGCAGTGCTATCTAAAGAATGAGAGTTGGAAGAAGAAGCACTAGAGCCACAAAGGGACTGTGGAAGTGTACAGATGTACTACTAAAGGTGACTAGGAGGATTATGAGGCCTGGAAGATCTTCTTGGAACAGGGGGACAGACTAAAGCAGAAGGAATAGGTGAAGAGGTACTAGGGTTAGGAGAAGAAGGAGAAATAGGCATAGAAGAAGAAGAAGATGGAGGAAAGGAAGGGACAGAATCAGGTTCAGGAAAAAAAGAGGAGGACTGGGGAATAGAGAGAGAAGGAGAAGATGAAGTAGAAGTAGAAATAGCAAAAGGAAAGATATCCTCATGGAACATAACATCTCTGAAAATCATAGTTATTTTGGTAACCAAATTGTAAACCTTGTAACCTTTCTTTGCTAGTGGATAGCCAAGGAAACACAAGGATCAACTCTTGGCTGAAGTTTGTCCCTATGACACTTGGGGACTGTAGAATAGCAAAGACAACCAAAGGTTCTGAGATGTGAGAAGGAAGGAGGTTGACCATACAACAACTCAAAAGGGGATTTATCATTGATCAATTTGGAGGGAAACCTGTTTATAAGATATGTGGCAGTCAAAACACAATCACCCCAAAATCTGATTGGTAACTTGGACTGAAATAATAAAGCTCGAGAAGTTTCCAGCAAATACCTATGCTTCCTCTCCACCACACCATTCTGTTGTGGTGTGTGAGGGCATGAAGTCTGATGAATAATACCATTATCAAGAAAGAATTGACTGGTACAATTACTGGACCCTGATTCAAAAGCATTATCACTTCTTACTGACTGAATTGTTATATGAAATTGTGTTTGTACCATGGCTATAAAAGCTTTCAATAAAGGAAAAGCATTACTCTTAGAACCCATGAGATGAGTCCAAGTAGCTCTTATAAAATCATCAACAATGATGAGGAAGTATTTGCAACCATTATAAGTAGGGTTGCTATAGGGTCCCCAGGTGTCTACATGGACAAGTTGGAAGGGAAAAGATGTTTTAATGCAACTATCTGGAAAAGGAAGCCTAGATTGTCTAGCTAAAGGACAAATAGAACAAACAAAAGGTTGCTTATTAGAGAATTTGCAAGGAAAAATATAAATGTCTTTCATTCTACTAAAAGGCATATACCCTAATCGATTGTGCCATAAAATCTCCATTTTATTGACATCAGATTGGTATGTACAATGGGATACAGGAAACAATGGAGAATGGTATTTACAACTGGAAACGGAATCAGAATCACAAGTGGAAGTAAGTGCAGTAGAGACAGTAGAACAACCATCTACCAGAAGCTTGTAAAGAACATGCTCCACTTTACCAACTTCCACTGGCCTCTTCAGTGAAGGGCCCTGGAGAAGACAAGAAAACTTATTGAATAGAAGATCAAAATCCAAATATGAGACAAGTGTATAAACAGAAATAAGATTGTAGTGAAAACTAGGAACATAGAGAACATGATGCAAGGTGAAAGATAAGAAGTGCAGGGAGCCAGTACAAGTGACTTTGACCTTGTATCCATTAGGAAAGGTAACTAGATAAGGAATAACAAGAGGCTTAATGTCAAAAAGAAGGTCTCTATTAGAAGTCATATGATCTGTGGCTCCAGAATCTATAATCCAAATGCAGTCATTAACTCTAGTTAGCGTGCATGCACCATAACTAACACCTACACAAGCAGGGGAAGGAACCATACCAGCAAAATTGGCAGAACCCATAAGACCGTGTTAAGTAGGTGAATCAGAAACATGATTCTGCTGCAGCAAGTGTAGCAATTGAGTGTATTGTTCTTTGGTTAGCCCAGGAACCAATGAAGCAGAGTCAGGAGGACACTCAGATGGAAGATTAGTTGAATCAGAATTTACACCAAGGTTCTGAACTTCAACATTCCCAGCAATTCTCTTCCCTTTGGTGAACTTAAAATTGGGTGGAAAACCATGAAGTTTATAGCACTTCTCAATGAGATGCTCAGGTTTTTTGCAATACTTGCACACCAAATTGGACTTTGTCTGATCAAAATTGACTCTTTGAATATACTGTTTTGGAGTAATAGGAAGTTGATTGGCTGTTGGATGTTTGTTAACAGAATTGTGAAAGTTGACATTAAAAGAGACTGATTCATTTTTGAACTGAGGACTAGGACTGACTTGTCTTTGTCTTTCATCTTGGAGAAGAATATTGTAAGCATTATATAGAGAAGGTAGAGGTTGCATCATGAGCAAATTACTCCGGACACTAACATAAGTGTCGTTCAACCCCATGAGAAATTGATAGAGTTTGTTCTCCTCTTGCTCCTCAGACCTACCCCCACAATTACATCTATTGGTATACTTAGAGCGCAAGAAGGCCAACTCGTCCCAAAGTTTCTTCAACTTATTGAAATATGAAGCAATGTCTAATGAACCTTGATTAGTGAAAGCCAATTCCTTTTTTTAATTCAAATAATTTGGTCCCGTCGGCCGACCCATACC